AACCGTTCTCAAGAATCATCATCATACATTATCCGCCGATATAAAGATAAACGAGGTCATCGTCTGATTAAAATCAGCATTTGCGAACTTAACGAGCAAGAATAAAATGTCATCCATGATCTTAGTGCTAATATGTTGTGGATTCAATGTATGATGAAGTGTTAGATGCTACAAATTGTCTTATAAAAAAATAGGTGAAAAATTATGTGAGAACTAGTAATTTAAGTAATGTAGCTTGTAAAATATAATAAAAGTTATACATTGAATTTTATATTATATACGTATCATTATTATTCAATTGTGTAGAGAAAAAAAGAAAAGACATTTATTGTTACAACGAATGTATTTATTAAAACTAATTATTTCGATTTTCGATTTTATCTCAATTTGAATTGAAATGTTTTAGTTTTTATTTCGAATTTAACTGAAAGCAACAACACATACATATGTAGAAAGGGTAATTGAGTGTAGTACAGAGACTGATTTTGTAGTTAGGAATAATAATTAATTCGTTTACACGAATTAATTATCCAACGAGTCGAGGATAAACTAGTAACGGAATACGACAAGCGCACCGTTCCACGTCAGAGCCAAGACTGTCTTAACGGCGGCCGCTCCGTCCGTTTTATACAAGCAAAACGGGCGCCACCGCAGGTGCAACGGTGCAGGTGTGCGGAACACGTGTTATTTATAAGAACTCTGTATAGCTACACCAACGGCGCCGCACGTGCAATGGTGCTGGTGCCGTCACGGCCATACTGACATGCGTGCGTCCTCGCACGCGCTCCATCACAATTTTAGTTATCTGTAGACAAAAAAACATCGTTCGACTATCCTGACATAACAGCGTCTGGTCCGGTCTATATTGACCCTTCAGACTTAGGCGACAATCAGTTTTGTTCCGGCAGTAAGCCCTACAAAACTTTAATCAACTTTATGCTTGATCGGAATGATTAGTCTGTAGCTTTTTCTATTTTCTCTTTTTTTTTTCAAGTACTGTTTTCGCTAGTCCGGAATCACTATTCCCTATAGCTATATCACTGGACCGGCACAAAGCCCTGCAATGATTGTAAGAACTATTCTTTTTTCTTAACCTCTTTTTTTTCAGTACTATTTATGCTAGTCCGGAATCACTATTCCCTGTAGCTATATCATTGGACCGGCAAACACCCTGCAATGATAGTAAGAACCACATTTTTTTTCCTTACTCTCTTTTTTTTGCAATTCATTATAGAACAGTTACAGACCAACCATACCGCAAACATGTCCCCGTCACAATCACACAAATGTGTATCGTGAGGGACGTAGTGACACGATAACACCTAAGTATGTAAACCAACAGCAACTCTACACATATCCCAGTGCAGCACAGACCAGCCTTCCTGCAACTTAAATGTTCCTTTCCTGCACTAGAATAATTACTTCGTTAGAGTGTTGCAATGTCTCTAGTATTTTCTAGATGCACAGACACGGCTACCTCTGACTGTCGCACGTCCTCGTGCGGTTGACAGTGAACAGCATACGGTCTATCAGTTATCACCACCTGCTAACAGATATTAACTCTTGTTAAATATTACAACGGTCGATCATCCCAGACTTCATTTAAGTCATGGACGCGCCGATATGGCTACCTCCAGGCAAACGCACTCCAACTTTCCGTTCTGCTGCGTTCGTGCCACATTCGCGCTTACGAGCCGTCGCGCCGTACTAGCGCTAGCGAATCGTCGTACTGCTTTGCAAAATTAAAAGAAATTGAGATAAATGTATTGCGAACCATGGAATTCCGAGCTTCCAAAATTCATCACAAATTCTCTTAAGAAACGGCAACTGTATGACATTTGAAAAAATTGCAAAAAACGGAGACTGTGTAGAGACGGATACCATCACATATTTCAAAGGGAAGGAGGCAACTGCGCAAAATCTACGAAAGCCGACCAAGCCTCAGACGTTCATTTACAGCACCAAAGGACCATGTGTTCGGCGGCCGCTTGAATTGCCTTGCCGTAAGATCTGCCGATAAGTTACAGACTGTAGCGGTGTAGGCTCAATCTTACTAGCGCTCGGCCGTACCTGACCATGTTTGATTAGCCATCACAACGTCTTGCTCATTGATCATTGTTGTAGATACTTCTAAGAATCTCTCGACATCAAACCCCAATCTTGTCGACCACACAGTATTCGGAGCAAACTGCAACACTGATCAACACATTAGAACACAAAAAGTTACTTATTATTTTCAATTCCTAGCATGTTAAGGTTAATCATTTATTTCGGTACATCGCTTAAACGTTTTGAATTTCAAAATATAACAGATGATAATCATGTTTCGCATGAACTATCAAATTACAACAAAACTTGAAAAAGTTAATTTTTCATTCAATGCAAACGATGACTCGTCTAAGAAAGCCTCCAACATGTCTTCCATTTGTTAACATATTTAGGTACGTCAGAAATAATGAAAATACTTGAGGGTACTTTTAATACAAATCGAACAAAAGGATTTATCTTTTGGCTTAAATAATTTCACTTTATCTTTTCTCTACACTTTAATGACAATATCGTAAGTAGGATAGCAAATTTCATTACGGTATTTAACATAAAAAGAGATCCATCAATGCGAAATGCATTATAGCCTTTACAAATGTAATAATTCTCATAATATTCGAAGATTATAAGTGGGCAATAAGGGGGACTTTATCCCACTTCTGATGTAGAAAGGGTAATTGAGTGTAGTACAGAGACTGATTTTGTAGTTAGGAATAATAATTAATTCGTTTACACGAATTAATTATCCAACGAGTCGAGGATAAACTAGTAACGGAATACGACAAGCGCACCGTTCCACGTCAGAGCCAAGACTGTCTTAACGGCGGCCGCTCCGTCCGTTTTATACAAGCAAAACGGGCGCCACCGCAGGTGCAACGGTGCAGGTGTGCGGAACACGTGTTATTTATAAGAACTCTGTATAGCTACACCAACGGCGCCGCACGTGCAATGGTGCTGGTGCCGTCACATATATTTTATTTGAAATAAAACAATCATTTTGTTTTCAAAACACCATTTCTTAATACATAAAACATTTTTAACGCACATATTTTCTTATGTGTAAAACAGTTATACAGTAAAGTATCTTTACAATAAAGTTCACAAAGAGTATTTAAATTGGTAGCTCCTAAGCAATTTATATCTATGATAGTATTATTTTCATCACAAATATCTTGCATCCATTTAATTTTTTCACATCCTTTTAAAAAAAATCTGTTTGTCTTTCAAATATGTTTTTATAATTCTGTGAAACTCTCTATAATCAATCAAGCCCTCACTCCATCGATACCCTCTTGTTGTGGTGGTGCTTTTCAATCCAGCCAATTTGTTTTTTCTCTTCAGGAGATAGTGAAGTGAATGGGTAAGGAGGTTTAATTAGGAATATATTGTTGTACTCTAGAGTGGCCATAGCAAACTCCTTTACTATAAATTTATTTTTGCTAGTTTTGAAGCCTTGAAGATCGACGATTATTGTATTGCTATTCATGATATTTTCTTAAAGATATTACTCAGTAGCTTGTATTCGAATATACAGTCGTTTAATATCAAGCAATAAGCGGTTGATATAGTTCAGATTTAGAATTTCTTTATTTTATTTACGGTTTATTATTTCGATTTTCGATTTTATCTGAATTTGAATTTAAATGTTTTTAGTTTTATTTCGATTTCAACTGAAAGCAACAACACATAGGTAATTAACACTGATTAAACTCAGTTTATTATAATAAAATATAGTTCAAATTTAGAATTTCTTTATTTTATTATTTTATTTATGGTTTATTATTTCGATTTTCGATTTTATCTGAATTTGAATTTAAATCTTTTAGTTTTTATTTCAATTTTAACTGAAAGCAACAACACATAGATAAGTAATACTGATTAAACTATTAAAATAACCCTTAGTTGGATACAAAACTGGACGAACGTTGTGATAATCTTCTTTGATGCATAATACCAACTGGGTAACAGCCTTCCACGGTTTAAAGCTGATCAGAGAGTGCTGCCAGCGGTCGGTTGATGGAATAGCCTCCAGCTCGCGAAAGTTAGAGATGCGCACTTCGATGTAATATTCTCCTCGCTTCGAAGGCTCGCTCCGGTGCATATATCCCGAACCTGTTCGGAATGATAAGTAGCTTTTTAAAATCCTCGCTCGGATAGGTTCAGAATCTTCATCCTGGAAACAATAAAAATACTATTTACACAAAAGCATACTGATAAGCAATGAACAATATTTATATTCCCTCCTACCCCGCATAAATATATTTTTATACGATGCTCATAACATGTAGTCCAATTCACTAACAATTGTATCAATCACATCGATCGTCTAAGAATATAATTAAATACGTTTTCATAAAAAAAATTAACCTATGACTGATAATTTATTCACAACATCCAATCAAATAGAAACTGACTTTTCATCATGTGAATGGTAACTCAAACTATTAAAATTAAATAAGATTTGCTTACCTCAGAATCTGGAAAAACTTTTAATTTACGTTTCCTGCTGGTCGAAGCTGGGGTGAGTGATGATGATGTATCAGCCTCAGATTCCGACTCGCTTCCTACACTAACTAGGGAGACTAAGTGTTACGTACATACTTGCTGTCTTGATGATGATGATGCTGAACACTTCCAGGTTTAGTAGACTGTGGAAAACACGATGCAACTAATGTTTAAACACCTCCCAACATTATATTTTATACCCTAAATTATAGCGCTATCCCCACTTGGAAGTGTTTTAGTTTGATATATTATAAAATGAAGAAATATTTCATTTGGTAACTTTAGCATTGACCCGTATTAATGTTATTTGTAAGGAATATTTTTGTTTATTAACATTAAATGCTCATATTTGAAAAACACTTAACATAAATGTTTGCATGCGATGTCAAATCAACGTTGCGTCGTCAGCCGAAAACACCATTGGCGCCAGCCAGAGGCTGTAATATGATATGACAATGTTTTACAGGTAAACGTGTGTATTAATAATAATAATAATAATAAATTTATTCATAAGAAATATGGTACAAAGATGTTCGTATGAAATAAATAAGTATCACATATTTCACTAATTTTGGTATATGAAAACTTATAATTAGAAAATACAATATATTTAACTAAAATTAAACGTGCATCAGTTTACAATTTTGATATTAACAATTTGAAACACGACCAAAGAAGAAAAAGCGTTTTAACAGTCACTAGAAACGTTCTTTTATTTTTAGCAGTTCATTTACCGAATAAAATTGTTTTTCCAAGAGCCACTTTAATAAATTACGTCTAAATCGATTATAATCTAATTGCCTTATTTCATTTGGGATTTTGTTAAACACTTCACACACATCACATAACAATTTTTTTAATACGGACTAGTTTTTAATGACGGCAAAATAATTTTTTCGGGGTATCTGGTACTATATTTCATTGTATATCTTTGTATCTTTTAGTTTAGTAAAAAAATGAGGATACTTTTTTACGAATATTGAAAGCTCAAAAATGTACATGGATGGCAGAGTAAGAACATCTAATTCTTTAAATAGTGGTTTGCAAGAAACAAGTGGCCCGACGTCACAGATTGCTCGTATACAGCGTTTTTGCGCTATAAAAGCACGGTTCACATCTGTCGAGTTTCCCCATAATATGAGACCATATCTTAATACAGCAGCAACATATGCATGATATGCTATAAGAGAAGTGTTTCTTGACGAGATTGAAACTAGTCTACGTAAGGCAAAATTAAATTTAAATATCTTAGAACAAACTTTATCAACGTGATCTTTCCAATTACAGTGTTTGTCTAAATTTATACCTAAAAATGTGGTACATTCAGTGACAGTAATTTTTTCATCATTATACTTAATGTCAAGTAATTGCGGTTTACTATTAACATTGTAGAATTGCATAAATTTAGTTTTAGATAGATTTATACTTAGATTATTGTTGTTAATCCAATCAACAACATTTTCAATTGTATTATTTATTTCATTTTCATATTCTTTATTACAACTAGAATTAAAATTTGTTTTTGGTATTAATATAGAAATGTCGTCAGCAAATAATATTGTGTTATATTTAATGTAATTTGGTAGATCATTAATGTAAATTAAAAAAAGTAAAGGACCCAAAACACTCCCTTGCGGCACACCATAATCATTTTGTAAGTATGAAGATTGAAATTTTAAAATTTCCTGCCGTTTTTTATCTTTTTGTTGTATTTCAACATATTGTTTTCTATCTTTTAGATAGTTATGTATTCAGGAGTAGGCTGGCCCTCTTATTCCATACGCTTCAATTTTTTTAAGAGAATATCATGACTAACACTATCAAATGCTTTACTCAAATCAAAATACACTGCCGAAATCGGTATTTTTCTGTTTATATATTCTGTTACAATTTTTATATGGGAAAAAGTAGCAAGTGTCATAGATTTACCTTTTTGAAAACCATGTTGCTCTGGTTTTAATATGTTAAACTTACGAAAAATTCTAAGAGTCTTTTTTGCATAGCTTTCTCATACAATTTTGATAGTATTGATATTAATGTAATTGGTCTATAGTTATTAATGTTATTTCTATCACCTTTTTTATGCAATGGTATAACAACGGAGAATTTCAATTGTGTAGGAAAAATTCCCGTTTTAAGTGACTTATTTATGAGAAAACATAATACGTCTATGATTTTTCCTGGGCACCTCTTTAAAATTTTTGTTTGTATTTCATCACAGCCAGTAGATTTTGTGTTATTAAGTGATGAAATATTATTTTTAATTTCTATTACATCACATGGTCTTAAATAAATACTAGATTTATTTCTTAGACTAGTTACCCTTAATTTTCCCGTACTATTTTGTGATATTCTGTCTTTAATGGAATGGATGAAATGTTCATTAAATGTTGTAGCTAGTTCAATGGGATTTTGTATATTTTGATTATTGACTGTGAGTCTATCAATAAAGATTGGATGTTTCTGACTATTTTGTTTTATTAGGTTCCAAGTGGCTTTAGTTTTATTTTTTGAGTTTAGTACGTAATTCATCAAACAAAAAACAGTTTTTTTAAGTATATTTCTATAACGTGTATATTTATTTTTGTTCTCGTGAGTTTTATTTTTGTAATATTTATAGCGAAGTGCACGTTTGGTTCTACAGGAAATTTTTATACCGGTTGTAAGCCATTTTAATTTTTGATCAAAATTATTTAATTTGACTCTATTTATGGGAAAACACAGTTTATAAATTAATAAAAACATGTTATAAAATTTAGTAAATGCTTTTTCTACGTTATCCTCCTCATAAACGTCTAAGAATGATAATGAATTTAAGTGATTACAGAAATTGTTAATATTGCTTTCGGTGTATTGCCTTCTAAATATATAATAATGCCCAGGAGATTTTGTTGTATCTTTTAATAAAAAACTTAACGTTTGCCCCATGTGATCTGATAGACCTAATTTATGGACTTTCCCAATAGCTCCTTGAATATTACTTGCTATTCGGTCTATACACGTATGTTGTCTCGTTTTTTTAGTTATGTGCATTTGGAATCCATAGCTTTTTAATGTAGTTCTTAATCTATTAGTTTTATAATTCAATATTAACATATTTATGTTAAAGTCACCCGCAATTATAACTTTTTTGTTTATTTTTTCACGTAGCTTATGTAATAAAGCATCAAGTTTAGTAAAAAATACACTTACTTCCGAGTTTGGTGTTCTATAAATACAAATAATGATACATTTTTGTTCAGTCAATTCTATACCGCAACATTCAAACTCAATTTCCTTTGAAAAAGGTTGTACAAAATCTAAGATGCGATAATTGAAATTATGTTTTACAAGAATACACACACCACCACGTTTTGATTCTTTTCTTGAGAAATTGGCAGCCAGTTTAAAGTTTTTAAAAATTACGTTTTCTTCATCTCCATTTTTTACAAACGGTTCAGTGAGACAAGCTATTTCACAATAGTATGGAAATGGGTCAGCATATAGCGGTCAATGTACTTATTAAATTTAGATCCATTATAAATATATCTTTGTTTAAAATTAATGCTATTTGAAGAAAAAAAAAACTAACAATTTTCAATCTTAAACTGAATTTTATACTATTCGTAATATCTCTAGATAGAACATAGTCTGGAATAATACCCAGGCGTTTGTTGTAAAAGCGCATACTCGTATATTGCTTACCCATATTATTAAATTAATTACTAATTCTATAAAGTCTGAAAACTGATATTACAAGCTTATGTTTGTTCCTAGTGTTTAAAAATGAACTATTTTTGTCTTATGAAAGCTATTTATGATTTTATGTACATACATTACATTTTCATAAATATATTTCGATGCTAAGTTAATATGTTTATTTCCTTAAAATTTGTCTCTAAGGGACTCTTTACAATTTAAGTTATCCGTATGCTTATCTTTTGTAAACAAATATGACTTCAATGTCAGTCGCATTATCCCATAGTAAGATTCCATAAGACATTACGCTATGAAAATAACTACATGCTTTCACGCTGGCGATTACGTTCGTATAAGCAAATACAAAGGAGATTTTTACAAAGGTTATACCCCTAATTGGTCTACAGAAATATTTCGTATCGTTAAAGTCAACCAAACCAATTCTCAAACCTATCAAATAGAAGACAAACACAATCAAAAAATTCTAGGCTCTTTTTACGGTTACGAATTACAAAAAACTAAATTTCCATACCTTTATCTTACCTCTTTATTGAAAAAGTCATTAAAAGAAAAGGAAATAAGCTTTTAGTAAAATGGTTAGGTTTGTGTGATGAAGAAAATAGTTGGGGTGGATAAAAGTGAATTAGTGGTTTAGGTATATAAATAACGTATTATTACTTAATAATCTCATTTTATACTTATCGATGAAGGAAGGCAGTGGTATATTTAATAAAGTAATAGACAATTTACCGTTTGAGCTACATTTACCCGGCTATCAGTTTTGCGGCCCCGGAACTAAACTTCAAAAACGGTTACTCAAAGGCGATCATGGGATAAACAAATTGGATGAAGCGTGCATGCTCCATAATATTTCTTACACTAACAAAGATTCGGGCGCTCGACAAAAAGCGGATTTAGAACTTTTGAAAATGGCTAAGAGGAGGTTGAAATCAGAAGATGCTAGGAAAGGAGAAAAAATTGCCTCATGGATAGTCAAAAATGCGATGAAAGCGAAAATCCGGGCGGGGAGCGGTATAAAAGCATTTAAGATAAAAAAATACAGTCTCAGTTGAAAAAACTAAAATCCAAAGACAGTCACTCGGCTATAAAATATGCCTATGCAGCTGCAAAGAAAATATTTAGTAATAAAAAAGGAATAAGTTTACCCCGTTGTATTCCTCTTCCAAAGTGTGGAGGATTTTTACCACTTATTCCCATATTTGCAGGATTGTCGGCTTTAGGATCATTAGCCGGTGGAGCAGCGGGTATAGCAAAAGCTGTTAATGATTCAAAAGCAGCACAAAAGAGTCTTCAGGAATCTGAAAGACACAACAGAATGATGGAAGCCGTTGCTCTAGGAAAGGGATTATATATTAAACCTCATAAACAAGGAGCACGTTTATATCTTAACCCCTCAAAAAACTAATTAAACGGCTACCCAGACGGACGCTCACTAATCTCGATATATTAGAACATGCAAGTGACATTCCATACTTTCGCGGCGTTTTCATGAGAAATAATTTACCTTTGAAACCGAGAAAGATAGAATGTGGAATACTGAATTTGGATAGCTACAGAAATTCTGGAACGCATTGGGTAGCCTTTGTAAAGCACAATAAATACGTAGAATATTATGATAGTTTTGGTAATTTAAAGCCCCCGTTAGAATTAGTTAAATATATGCATAACTTACCTATTAACTATAATTATGCGCGACATCAAGCGTTTGGTGCTACAAACTGTGGACATCTTTGTCTAAAATTTTTAAGGAATTACTGGAAAAAGCATTTATATAGTGTATGAAATAAATAAACGTATCAGTATAAAAATGTCTTTCACTGTGTCTATAACTGGGACAGGAGCCTCTTTATCAACGATTCACCGACAATAGTCTTTTGTATAAAACAGCCTTTTGTATTTTTCAACTTTCAATTCTATTCCCAATATAGATGAAAGAAACAATAAATTTTATTATGGTGAAAAAGAAATGATCGAAATTCCTGAAGGGTCTTACTAGCTTCTAGATATTCGTGATTATCTAAAAAATAATATTAAGAACGCTGTACTAAAACTAACTTGTAACAATAATACATTGAAAACAAATATTTTTTGCTCTGAAGATGTGCACTTTAATAGAAGCGAATCACTGGGTAAAATTTTAGGCTTTGGTATGGAAACAAAAAAAGCAAATATAAGTACTGAATCAAAGTATCCTGTCAGTATTCTATCGACAATCAACGTGCGGATTGAATGCGATGTAGTTAGTGGTTCATTTGTCAACGGGAAAGCAAGCCATATAATTTTTGAATTTGCACTTAATGTACCACCTGGTTATCGAATAATTGAAATACCCAGAAACTTGTTTTATTTTCCTGTTAACCAAAGTTTCATAAGTGCTATCAATATAAAGCTATTGAACGCTGAGAATAAAGAGATAAATTTACGAGGTGAAGAAGTACAACTGTATTTACATTTCCGAAAAAAAATATGATAAATTTCAATAAAAGCCCGTCTACTTCGTGTATCCAAGCCAGTTTTAAAAGAAGATCTCATAAAGGTACACCTCTTCAGCTAAAAAAGAAGCTTACCAAGTCTAACAAAGAATTTCTTAAGCTACTTAGTTGGCTTGATAAAATGAATATTTTAAACGTATCTCAACAAACATCGTACGATAACAGCATTGAAAGTTTTGAGTATCATTCATACAAACCATATGGAACTAGTTTTAACAAGAATGATGAAATACGTATTCCTAAGTATTAATCAACAAGACCTGTACGTACTACCTTCACTCGGTAGTTTATATATATAGGGAAAGGTGAACGTTTATAACAGCACCACAAAAGAAAAGGTATCAATATTACATTTTGTCAATAATCCCGTGCTATTTCTTTTTCAAGACATACGATATGAACTTAATGGATCAGAAATAAATAAAATTAAGAATGCTGGTGTCACTACTACAATAAAATATTATCTATCCTTAGATGAAAATGAATCCAAATGTGCTCGAGTTTGGGGCTGGTCAACTGGCGGAACAAGCAATACTAGTGGTGGAGCGTTTTCCGCATCTATACCATTGAACAAGATATTAGGATTTCGCAGAAGATTATGAAAAAATTATAATTCATTGTAAACATGAGTTAGTATTATTACGAAACAATACAAATCTTAATGCGATCAAGTTAAATACAGGTGCAGTTGTAGAAGATATTATAATAAATAAAATAGTTTGGCGAGTTCCACACATCAAAGTATCAGATCGTGAAAGAATCAGCCTATTAAAACTTTTAGAGAAAAATACAGCTATTCCATTGGCATTCCGTTCCTGGGACTTATATGAATATCCATTGCTACCCAAAACACGTAAACATACTTGGTCTATAAAAACTTCATCGCAAATAGAGAAACCACGATTTGTGGTCATTGCCTTGCAAACCAACCGCAAACATAACGCGAAATTATCAATGGCAGAATTTGATCATTGTCACGTACGAGATGTAAGTCTTTTTAAATTAGTCATATTATCTTTATGAGGGGCTGAATGTTAGTTTTTCAGAAGATAAGTTTACTTTATAATACGATCAGTATGCGAGATTTCAACAATCGTATCATGGACGCCGGTCAGAGCCGTTGATGGGTTTAAAGGAGTTCAGAGACGTGGCTCCATTATTTATAATTGATTGTTCAAGACAACATGAAACTTTAAAAGGTTCGATCGATGTGAGAGTTGAAATCGAGACAGACCAAGAAATACCAGATCAGACAACCGCTTATTGCTTGATAATAAACGACTGTATATTCGAATACAAACCACTGAGTAATATCGTTAAGAAAACACCATGAATAGCAATACAATAATCGTCGATCTTCAAGGCTTCAAAAATAGCAAAAATAAATTTATAGTAAAGGAGTTTGCTATAGCCACTCTAGAGTACACGAATATATTCCTAATTAAACCTCCTTACCCATTCACTACACTATCTCCTGAAGAGAAAAAACAAATTGGCTGGATTGAAAAGCACCACCACAACAAGAGGGTATCGATGGAGTGAGGGCTTTGTTGATTATAGAGAGTTTCACAGAATTATAAAGACATTTTTGAAAGATAAAAAGATTTTTTTAAAAGGATGTGAAAAAATTAAATGGGTGCAAGATATTTGTGATGAAAATAATACTATCATAGATATAAGTTGCTTAGGAGCTCCCAACTTAAATACTCTTTGTGAACTTTATTGTAAAGATACTTTACTGTATAACTGTTTTACACATAAGAAAATATGTGCGTTAAAAATATTTTATGTATTAAGAAATAGTGTTTTGAAAACAAAATGATTGTTTGATTTCTAATAAAATATATGTAAATAAACACTTCATCTTTTAATTTAAACAACCTTTGTGTTCGAGAAGAAGAAAAAAAATAGTTTCAGACCGTTAACGATTAGTACTTATTATTAAAGTAACTGTTTTTTTGTACCACCTTGCATTTTTAACGATGAAATAGATTAGCCTTCATATTTTGTTGTTATATTATTGAACCATTTGTATTTGATATTCCGAATGAAACAGTATTAGAAATAGAGCAAAGATAAAAAAAGCGGATCGAGAATTAGACTTGGGACCTTCAGCGGCATGTAGCTCGAGCGAAGCGAGAGCAAGTGGCGCAGAAGCCCTAATTCACACCTACTCATGACCCTGCCCCAATCGAGCTGACCCACTCGTGCCACAACCATAATACAGCTGCAGTGTGGCTCTACCACGTTAAAAAGTTTGCCTTCTAGGAGAAAAATTCGCCGTAGCAACACGCTTGGCAGGCGGCTTGAGGACTCCTTCCTTTTATAACTTCGTGTTGTTATCACAAAGATACTGCTGCCTGTTGTCCACTTCATTTCCCTCTGTCGCCTCTTACGACAGCCACCAGATAATACGGGGTAGTTGATATTCTTACACCGCCACTACACGGTACAATCATATTCATCGCCTCGTAAAAATCTAGTGCTGGAAATATAGGCCACTTTTGTTACAGGGAGGATTTATCGCTATGCTTGATGGACAGATTTAGTGTCCCAGGATCACACTACACATTAAAGCAATTTATTATGCTCTTCGAAAATTGTTTAATTTAAGATGAAGTGATTTCTCTACTAAAATATGCGCTTAAGTTACGTAGTAACATTATTTACTACTAATGGCCTCAATTAGGATGCATAAACAACTTATTTTTTATAGAATGACAAACGAGCACACAGTCCACCTGATGGTAAGTGATTGCTGTGGCCCGTAGACATCTACATCTATATTCGTTTGCGAATTAAAATGCAGATGCGTTGTCAGCCGTGAGGACTAAGAGTGCCTCTTTTCCAGTAAAAAGAGTCTCCGGTTCTCTACACTCACCATACGAAACACAACAGCATTTCTCATCTATTTAACGCTGGTATTCTGTGAGAGCGTGGTCCTTCCCCGGTCGAGCCGACCTATTCGTGCTACAACTATACTATTAATATAGCTGCAGCAAGGCTCTACCAAGTACACTTCATGTTATTTCTTATTATTTTGTTTATAAATCTCAAACCCCAACAATTTTAGCTGGACCCTTTCCCCTATACTTTTGCTCAGTCCTTAGAGTACCAGAGAACTATAAGTTTTGTGTTATTGAAATATTTATTCTTCCATATTATTACGATCTTAATTATTGTAATATTAATGTGTATAAAAATCAGAGTGAATCCGCTAGTTAACATGACAGACAACATAGGACTTGTTACAAATATATATTTAGAAACGTGTCATTCTAGAAAGACATTTTTGTTATAATAAACGATTGTATTAAAATTTAAAAGGATTACCTGTTCATAGGTAACATAGAGTTTATTTAGATATCGCATATTGATAAAAGCAGTGGCTTAGTGCGACTAGGTCACGTAAAATTAACCTAGATTCGGATTGATTTATCTGCGCGCATGGAAACCTGGAGTAATGCACGCAAGCAATCAATAAAATGCAGTTGAGTGAAGAGCGCCGTCGCGAGAATTGACGTCACTATAATCCTGTCTTTACAATATCTCATTTTCCTATTTTATAAAAATAAAACGACAGATGCGCTGCGCACCTTATAGCAAAATCAATAAATAGTACATACTTATTACCAAACAGTTCGTGTTACGTGACCAATAATTATATTTTACACTAGATATATCATTTTTGACTGATATTTAAATATCATGGCACTGTTAGTATAATACGTAGTAAGTGAAAGCATAAGTAACTACGTTCGATTGAACGGATTAAGCTAACGTTTTAGTATTAATCCATACAATAGTAAGCTTTAATTATTGTAAGGTGCTTATATTAAAATATGTCTGCGAATAATAGTTATCTTTATTTTCAGCCCTTTTTTGACAGACTGTAACTCAACTTCGGGCATTATTTGTTACAGAATCTCGATTGATAGACGGACTTATTGTTTCTGATTCATTATTTGCTTCTGTCTACCCTTATGTCTAACGGGTTTTTATTTTAGTATACTTACTTTATTTGCATTCTTATATTATTATTATCTTTTACGTGGTAGAGCCATGCTGCAGCTATATTAGTAGTATAGTTGTAGCACGAATGGGTCGGCTCGACCGGGGAAGGACCACGCTCTCACAGAAAACCAACGTAAAATAGCAGCTTAACGCTGCTGTGTTTCGTATGGTGAGTGTAGAGAACCGGAGACCCTTTTTACTGGCAAAGAGGTATTTCATCTTAGTCCTCACGGGTGACAACGCATTTGCATCTTTATTGAGGACTAGCTGTTCCCCGCGACTTCGCTCGCGTGTTAGGGTTTTTATGTTTTTGCGCGGAACCCTAATTATTTTTCTAAAATTAAAGTAGCCTAAGTTACTCCTTGTGAAATCAGCTATCTCCCAGTGAAAGTCCCGTCAAAATCGGTCCAGCCATTTTGGAGATTACCCGGAACAAACAGACAGACAGACAGACCGACAGACAAAAATTTAAAAAATTGTATTTTAGTTATAGCTACCGTATTTACTTTCATATGCATTTAGTAAAAAACTGTAATTTTGACATTACAAACAGACACTTCAATTTTATTTATTTGTATAGATAGATGTAGATGTCTATGGGTCACTGTAACCACTTACCATCAGGTGGACTGTGTGCTCGTTTGTCACCCTATCCTATAAAAAAAAAGACTGTGGCAATTCACTACTGGACATTAACTTGTTATTCCGTTAATCGTTAATTAGTTAATATTACGACTAACGGATTAACTTTTACGTTAACTTTAAAAAAAATTAACGGACTCGTTAACTTCACTTAAATTTCCTCAAGTCCATCTTCAATCGTTAATTCTGTACCTACTATTTACCAAGCACCGCGCCGATGAAGACATATTAGAAAACTTCAATACTTTGCCAGTTCACATAAGATGTGCTGCGCATACACTCAATTTGGCCGCAAGCAAAAATGCAGAAGCTGTTCTACAAATAACTATTTTCAAGACTCATTACACAAGTGCTACAGCCAAAGCATGTACTCTCTGGAACCAGCAATCACGTAGTACGGTAGCAGCAGATAGCATTCACGCTAAATTGGGCAGACGACTCGTCCTAAATACAACGAGATAGAACTCTATGTATGATGATATTTCGTTCTCATTAGAATATTGGAAACAAAAAGGTCTTCCCTTCACAGGGTTATGACTTGTACAGTAAAAAAACATAGATGTCGCGTATAACTCTTTTATTGGCAAACTGGACTACTGACTAACCCGACGTACAATATACAGGCGTGCGTGACGTCATATTCAATTTGATTAGAGGCGTTCCATCTTAGTCCTCACGGGTGACAACGCATCTGCATTTTGATTCGCAAACGAGGATAGATGTAGATGTCTATGGACCACAGCAACCACTTACCATCAGGTGGACTGTGTGCTCGTTTATCACCCTATCCTATAAAAAAAAACCTACATTGCATACATTACAGACTAAGCTAAAAATTCCGAATTTCAATGACCAAGATGCGAGTGTACTGAAGGAGTGTGCAAAGGTAAATTTATATACTTATACATATTTTAAATTAACATCTCATTCATCCATATCATGTCATTTATATTATTAATATCTACTTATTTACTACAGGTTATGGCACCCGTCGCTAATCCTCTCGATCGTATTCAAGAAGCTCGAGCATATCCCTCTTAATGGTACCGACAATTGCAGCAACTGCCTTCAAATTAAAAAATATAAAGTCTAAGGGCCTTTACTCTTAAATTGCACAGGTTTAGCCAATGCTTTATCATATCATATTTTAGGGTTAGTTATCAATTCTTAAAAAGGCATGCAGGAGAAAATGGGAGACTATTTTCTGTCACTATCTCCTAGTCTATTACTCGGAGAACAGATATTCATAAATCTGTTTATTAAATATAATACTACTATACCCTCAAGCGCTGCTGTTGAACGTCTTTTTTCCACGGGCAAAGATATTTTAACGCCAAAGCGAGCCTCGCTTTCAAACGAGAACTTCAACATATATTAATGTTCATGAAGGGTAATATCCACATTATGCCAGATGATTAAATTAAACACTTCAAATTTCCAGAACCCACACCAACAGTTTTTATAAGTAGATCATTAGCGCAACAATATTTTTTTATTTTTATTTTTTTTTTTATTTATAAAAAAAAGCAATTTTAATCACGTGTTAGAGGATTAACCATTAACGTTAACTTGCGCAAAATCTTCCGAAATGTAACGCTTTGACGTTTAACGAAGTTAACTTTTTTAGTAACGGATTAGCGATTAACGAAGTTAATTATTTGTTTAACTGTGCCCAAC